GACGAGAAGAAGTAATATTTAAAAAAGAGAAAAAAAAACTCTAGAAGCGGCCAAATTTAGTAACCCGTCATATCGAGTTATCGCGGACTAATATTATTATATCGAATAGGAAAACTCGAGTGTAGCGCTACAATTTAGAACTCAAGCGAATTATTTCAACCTTTGTCATCGCGGTTTTATTTTTTTCTGTGATCATCATTTATAACTTGTTTAAGTTACCCTGCCAAAATTTGCCATAAGATTTTCCTTTTAGTCCGAAGTGATAACCCCCTTAGAGCTAATAAAAACAATGCGCAAACGTGATCTCTGACCGGTTACACGAATGATCATTGCAAAGATCATACTCAATTCACAGTTGATTCACCTGAACGATAATCATCATCTCATCATCTCATCGATGTTTAATCGCCGATCACTAAATTCGCGATAATCGATAATCCCGTTTCCTCCAGTCAATTCAAACTAGCCACCATGTCCTCGCCTACGAAAAAAGTCAGAAAAGATACTCCACCTCCCTCCGATTTCTTTTATTCCCATCATGTTGTCTCATCTCCGTAGTAGAAAATCGTACGGGACAAAATGCTTACATAAACCGAATTTTTTTATTTTATTTTATTTCAGTCTGAAGAAAATTTATGTGAACTGATTATATTCTTAAATATTGTACCGACATGTGAAAAAAAATGAAGAAGATTTATTTTTAGGATCTGAGAAAAGAATCCAATATGAAAATTTATTTATTTCGGAATTTCGCAATAAAAAAATATGATAAAGAGACGTAGGCATTTTTTCCCGCTTTCGCATTCCCTCGTATCAAGTAGTATCCCCTGCATCTGATCATATGTTGTAAATACACCCGCAGGATTTCACAAGCGGGATTACATAAGAAGGATCTTCGTGCCGCGTGCAGATTCGTACAACTCGCGTACGAGGGTAGCCTAATAAGATCGATTTGTTAAAATGTAAAACGAGAGTATACCTAATAACGAAATATAGAGAGTCTTATATAGTACACAATATACACAGAAAAAAAAATTTATAATTATATATTATATATATATATATATATATTATAAATATAGGCAGAGGGCAGAAATTTTTTGAAACGCAGCGCGTGTCTCGTTACTGTTCGTGAATTCGTAGGCTCCCGTAGAAACTCCGTCGTTTATCGATTATATACCCTTCGGTTCGACCCTTTTTCCCCACTCGCGATTCACGAGTAACTATTAACTTATAAACGAATCGAGCAATTAATTAATGAAAATTGCTATACTCTATGGCGTACAGTAGATTTCTCGTACAGAATTTTAAAGATGTTACATGAGAATTACGCGCTAATAGCTTAAACGACAAAAAAACCCCTGTGTCATCGACACACACGCGACACACACAAAATACATAAGACACAAACACATACACACGTATATACGTATACACACATACGCGACACGTAACGATTCTTCGATCTTAGATTCCGCCCCTGATCTCGATTGTCTATCGCCTTGCGAGTCTCCCGTAAGCAGCCGAAAATCAAAAAGCAATTTTTTTACGAAATCATACACAGTCAAGACTAACTGCAAGTCTCGATATCAAAAAAAAAAAATCAATAAAGTAGAAAAGTAGTCTGATACTAAGAATCTACCTGTCTCCGACAGGTAGACGGCAAAAAAAGAATTCAATTGTTATTTTCAGCGATGCATTTAATAGCAATGACGGTTGGTAATAATGACAATACTTCTTTTGTAACCGAAAGAAAGCGCAGACGAGCGTAAAATCTTTCGGAAGCCACGAGCTGTTTTACGAACTATCACGTCAGAAATAGCGGGACGGGTGAGAAAGTCTCAAATGCCACTTCTTGTCTTTTCATTAATTCGCTTTGCGGAATCGAGCTCGATGCACAGTTTTAATACGAATAAATGAGAATCAAACACTGGACGGTATTTTAATAAAGCGTTATAAAAAATACAATAGAAGTATCACGATAAGTATCACGATCCGTATCCGTTTAAATTTCAGTTTCTGCGTAAAATTGTGCGTAATATTGAATTACGTGAGATATAATGTAGGGCCAAATATAGTTTTATTTGAGTTACTTTCGCAAAAAAGTTGTTGTTATATAAAAGAAAATTACATAGAAATATTTAATTCTTTGAAGCTCATCGAATGGTATGGTTCGACTATATTTAGAAATCAAGGAAAGTAGGAAATCAGCGTTGCCGAAAAAGAAATGCGGTTGTATTCTGAAACGAATTGGATTTTCAATGTATACCAAAAGCGATTGTGCACATATCAGTAGTGATTAGTCAATTTTAATTAGCGTTTTCGTTTGAACCGCATTGTGCCGCTCTAAGACGACTTTCCGACTTTCGCCAATCTCCATCCACGGCAGAAATGATGTTATTAAACGAACACAACCATGAGCGGCAATGAGGTTAATCCGACAATGCTACTAATTAGCATGTAATGTTAACCGTCAATTATTATATCCGCTGCATCGATCTCAACTGTGACGAGCCCGACTCGTACAGCGTACTCAATAATCAAAATAAGCGCACGAGCGATGCGGATCCTCGACTAATTTTTAAGCGTGACGTATTATCAAAGTGAAAGAAGATGCATAAAAATGATATATAAAATGATACATAAAAATTAACAGGTTGTAATTATATATATATATATATATATAATTTATATATGTGTGTGT